CTAATTCTAGATCATTCTATCCTATTCTAGTCTAACCTACAACTGACCCGTAACACTACCCCCCACCCAAGTATTTGTAGTACATACTACAAATACTAACTAAATCCCCAAATCCTAAGTTAACCTAGAGGGCGAAAAACAAACAGAGAAAAAAAAATAATTAAAAAAAAAATGGTTTGACAGGTACACTACACCAAGAGGAGAGTAAATAAATAATGCATTTATAAACCTCTTTTTACATGAATCCAAGACAAACAACCGAGTAAAAACAACAAAGTAAATCAGAAAAAAAACAATTCTGTGGTTTAAATTACAATTTACAATGGTAAATCCTGTAATGGCCGGGTCATGTGAAGACAAAGACCTGGGTCGAAAAAGAAAAAAGGTCCTATGATGGCAAGGCTCTGTGCTGGTAAGGTCTCAGGATGGTAGAGTCCAGTGATGGCGACTTTCTGTTCTGATAAAGTCCTAGGATGGTAGAATCCAGTGATGGCGACTTTCTGTTCTGGTAAGGTCTCATGATGGTAGAGTCCAGTGATGACGACTTTCTGTTCTTATAAAGTCCTAGGATGGTGGTGAAGTCCAGTGATGATGACGTCAAGTGAAGGTGACGTCTAGTGATGGTGACGTCTAATGATGGTGACGTCCAGTGGTAATGACGTTCTGATGGCGACTTTCTGTTCAGGTAAGGTCCCCCAGGATGGTATAGTCCAGTGATGATGACGTCTAGTGATGGTGACGTCTAGCGATGGTGACGTCTAGTGATGGTGACGTCTAGTAATGGTGACGTCTAGTGATGGTGACGTCCAGTGGTAATGACGTTCTGATGGCGACTTTCTGTTCAGGTAAGGTCTCAGGATGGTATAGTTCAGTGATGATGACGTCTAGTGATGGTGACGTCTAGCGATGGTGATGTCTAGTGATGGTGACGTCCAGTGGTAATGACGTTCTGATGATTGCGCTATCTTTACTTTAATACTGGCCACCAGTTGTTACGTCCAGGTTAGATTCGAATTCAAGAACGACTCGGGTTAAAATTCAATACGTTTATTAGGTCTCACATATCACATTACAGAATAGCTCTCGACCTAACCACTACCAACTAACCCCTGACAACCATTCACTCCAGCTTTTATACCGCATTCGACCTTGGGATAACAATACACAAACACACCCACCGGGGTTAACAATATTCTAGGGTAAACTCAACTCACACACACACACACTCTCCCCTATTTCTAGATCATTCTATCCTATTCTAGTCTAACCTACAACTGACCCGTAACAATTATGTTTTGCGAGACTGAGGATGCAGTCCGTTTTATTTTTTGGTACCTCGAGGTTGTGCCGAGTACCTGGTTGTTGTTTTGGGGGTTCATGGGAAATACTCCTCTATGGGTTATAGTATTTGCTTATTGATAATTCTGATTTAGTTCATTAGTGTACTCCATTGTATAGATTGGCTATAATATCTTTAGGTGGTAATTGTTTTAATTGTGGAGTGCTGGTATTTGCTTGGACTGTTGATTTCCTGATTGTTGGATAGTAGTTGAGCTTAAGGATCAATTGAGTTATATAATATATGGCCAAATTGTATTGATTTTAAATATTAGTTGTGATTTAATTTTCACATTTTAGAAGCCATGTGACTTTGCTATTTGGTAGTAATATTATATTTAATGACAGGAAGAGATGCTCAACAATATTATGTTTAAATTAGAAGTTACTGTATGGTTTGGGTACATGTTGGTCCTGGATTAATTTTTTTATTTAAAGCTTGTGTTGATATCCAAGGACAAGAAATCAGATGCATAAGATGATGTGGGGACAAGGTGTTGGTTGGGACCAAAAGATTTGTGTGTTCAAGGTGTTGGTTGGGACCAAAAGATTTGTGTGTTCAAGTTAACTGACGACGTTGATGAAGAACCATGAACCACAGAACATTGTCTTTGTTGCATATTGCATGTATATACTTGTTTAGCATATTGTATGGGTGCATTTCTGAGAAAAAAAAATTGAAGCTAAAAATAGGTTGATAGTTCTGATATGTATTTTCAGCTGAAGAAAGGAGAGGGGTATTTTGTGAATGGACTTAAGTGTATGGAATGAGTTTGAGAGTATGTGTGTGGTTGAACGGGTTAATAAAGTTGTCGATGGTTTGAGAGTAGGTGTGTAGTTGAATGGGGTTAATAAAGTTATGGAAGGTTTGAGAGTATGTGTGTAGTGGTATTAATAAAAGATTATGAATGCGTGAATAAATAAGTATGTGACGTAAGAGAATGTTTTGGTTGTTAGGAAGATAGTTGGAAGTCAGTCTTGGTCTTGTCGTCGTCATGTGAGGTTGTGTTAGGAAGTCTTCGTCCTGTGTCTGCCGTTGATGTAGCTGTATGTATTGATGTAATAAAATTATAGAAATGGATCAAGCCGCCATGTCTCATCTATAATCGATCTATACCAGCGTCGACCCTGTACAGAAACTCACTTTACAACAGTTATGGTGCACATTAAAACAAGGTCAGGGTTACACGACCGCCGGGGCGCGTGCCGGCTAATGCGCCTGTGCAGTATGAATGCTGGATCAAGACGTAACGCTGACCCGCTGCTCCGGACACTCAAACAACGGGCCCCATGTGCAAAGATAGCGGCTGGGAATCTCTGGGTGGCAAAACGCACCACCTTACTGCCGGAATCGCCCTCAGAAATAAAATAAATTTGTAATGGCAGAAACCTTATCCGGAAAAATGTCTAGAATAAAAACACTGCCTGGAGTATTCTCAAACACTATTTAAAATTTTTGGCGATTGGATGAAAACTAAAATCTCGTGGTGTTAGTTCTATAATATTGATTAAAGATTAAATAGTTTAAGGAAATGAAGCAAATGAAACGTCATTAAAGTAAAAATTAATATACAGGCCTATGCCATAGAGCTCTAGTATTGCTTAGCTTATATTACGTTACCTTAGATTAGCTTAGCTTAGATTAGCTCGGCTATGCTAAGCACAATCATTTCAGTTCAGGCAAAATCATTATCATCTTCATTTTAGTGCATGTTAAAAGCTTGTTATTAAAACGTTTCAAATGCATTTTATTTGTGTATGTGCGACTAACTGTTGTGTTCGGGTAAAAGAATACTACAGTTTCTTTTTTTTTTTTTTTTTTTTTTTGCAAACGAATATTTGAGTGTCTGTTTACAAAAATACAGTAAAATAAACAAAATGTTTCGTATTTAATGTACATCTATATAGATTTTACAAAGCGCACCCATCATGAAATTCTAAACGTGGCTCAGAAGTCTTATCAAACATTTAATGATTGCGCATTGGAAGTCCAAGCGCAATGCATGAGTGGTAAGATGAGAAGAGACAGATGTTGCCCATGTATCAGGCGCCCTTTCCAAATATGTCTAACCTAATTCTTAATGTATTCTTTCATTTTGAAACCTAGATTTAATATGAAAATTTCCACTCATTTAACATGTGGCCGCTTTAAGCGAATCTGGAAATCTGTTCAGGTTGTTAGATTAGAGTATTATTTTATAATCTACATTGCAATCTATATGCAAATATACTATTACCAAACTGCTAAAAACTCTTTAAAAGCTTAAAATATGATATTATTATTTTTTGTTTTATGACTAGCCTTGTCAATACCAGCCAATCGAAATCATCCACGTTAGAAACGCGCATGCATAAAATGTCTATTCAAAGTACGCTCATCATTTAAACTACTCGTGAATTCTGTAAGACATACATCGTTGTTAGTTAGCCTTGTAGTAAGTATTTGCATTGATAAAAATATTCATGTTTACATATTTTCTAATACAAATAAAAAAAAAAGAAAACATGATATTTACAATATTTTTCAACGAGCAATATAAAATGTATTCAATTTTAGGTTTTGAAAAAGTTAAATTAATAATTTTAAAAAAAAATTAATTTCGTTGTAAGTTAACTTTGTAGTAAATAAGTTTTTATAGATAACTTGCGTTCCCGTCCCCCGCGCGTTCCGCAGGAATAGAAGAAAGTATGACAAAATATATGTAAGGATTTCACCAACGCGTTACCAATCATATGTTCTTAGACGCGTGACCTTCCTTTCTAAAAGTGAGTTGTTGAAATGTAAACATGCCTGCACTTGGATCATAAATATCGGGACACGGGTTTACCTACACTATAGCATGACCTTGAGTGTACATTAATCACTCACCAAAATAATATGGTAGAACACACTTCGGTGACCGCCCATGTGTCAGAGACGAAGAGGGGCGCTCTCAGTAGCTCCTCTTCTCCCGATTACACTACCGCATAGGCGCGGCGTACTACCCCTTGCTTCTTAAAACTAACAGGCGCCATCGTGCCAAATAGCATCCTGTTAACAATGATGCAGATTGCGTCATTCACTAAAGTGACACAAATGAACAGGATTTGTTTTTTATCACGTAAAAAATTATTTTAGGTGTTTTAAACATCAGTGTGACGGATGCAATATGTTAGCGTTACTAATGGTCTATTCTTAGATGCTCGATCTCAATTTCTTTTTTAATTATCTAAAAATAGATGCTAATTTGCATCAATTGCAGTGGCAAAACTGTTTGGATTTTTTACGGATAAAAAAAAACATTCCAGTTAATAATCTAACCTTGGTTAATTTTTCTGATTATTAAAATAAAACGTATTACATGACCCTCAGCGGCACATGTGAGCCTTTAGGGGCCGAAACAAACATTTTTATTTGCATCCTAATCCCAACCTACCAGGGCGCCAGAGGACACGCCAGATTCAATTTAGTGAGCGCTTGTAACAACCCATCCTATCCATTGTCTTTTACACTGTTTAGACCGAACGTAGTCACCATAGCGCTCACGGAAAAGACCAGGGCTCAAAATAGCATCCAGCTGAGGGTCGCCCATGCAAAATTGAATCCCCCCGCCCCCACCACTCACCCATCACTATTACCCCTCCCATCCCAGAAACCTTCTCGGAAGTATTCATCAATTTCCTAAAGTTTTATGGCGCCGAGATTAATTGCTTCGAACCGCAATCGTTTATATTTTTATATATCGTATATCGAGCAAAATCACACCATTCTGTGGGGCCGCCCATGGAAAATTAAAAATGATTTTTTACAGAACCCTTCCCTGGAGTTTTCTGATCAAGTCCCTAAAGTTTGATGGCCGTCGGATGAACGTTGTGAGACGACAATCGACTTTTATTTTTTTTTACCATATAGAGAGAAAAATCAAATCGAGCCATGCCAGGGCGCCACCCCTGCGAATTTTCAATTGTTTTTAGTGCAGAAACCTCCCCAGGAATATTCTCATCATCTTCCTAAAGTTTCATGGCGATCGTGTGAACGGTGTCACCGCAATTCACTTTTATTATTTTTTTAATAACATATATTGAGGAAAATCGCATCATCGCGTGCGTGCGTGCGTGTGTCTGTCTGTCTGTCTGTGAACTCGATAACTTAAACACATTTACAGAGAGGTTGACAACATTTCGTTTATAAGTATTATATAAAATGTGTTGTTATGTTTCCAATATTTAGCGATTACCAGTAAATGGAAGTCGAACTTATTCTACTTTCCTTCCACATTAGTTTTTTTCTAAGAATATTTGAGAAAGTTTAGAAGAGATCACTACCAAATTATTTCTATGCAAAACACGTAGTAATAGTTTTGCAGTATGATATCTACAAGGTATTTTAAATGGAAAATGTGTTATCCGTTTAGATTGGACTATGTAAAATTAATTCATTAGTTGATACATAAATACTCTGACGAAACATGTGTATAAATGCAAAACTTTATATTTAAGATTTTTATTTTAGATTTACTGAGCTGATTAAAATGAAGATCGAATTTCTTCTTCTTCTGTTGTGTATGGCAAATATCTTTGTTGTTTCAGACAGGTGAGTCTACTTGAACTATCTTCAATAAATAGGATTGTATTTAAAACAATTTATTTAAATTAGAAATCATTGTTTATGCAGGGGATCGTTCGTAAATTAAATACGCCTTCCTTTAAAAAATATACATATTCATATTCCTATTCCTGTTCGTGTTCGTGTTCGTGTTCGTGTTCGTGTTCGTGTTCGTGTTCGTGTTCGAGTTCGTGTTCGTGTTCGTGTTCGTGTTCGTGTTCGTGTTCGTGTTCGTGTTCGTGTTCGTGTTCGTGTGCGTGTGCGTGTGCGTGTGCGTGTGCGTGTGCGTGTGCGTGTGCGTATGCGTATATGCGTATATGCATATGCATATGCATATGCATATGCATATGCATATGCATAGACATAGACATAGACATAGACATAGACATAGACATAGACATAGACATATACATAGACATAGACCTAGACCTAGACCTAGACCTAGACCTAGACCTAGACCTAGACCTAGACCTAGACCTAGACCTAGACCTAGACCTAGACCTAGACCTAGACCTAGACCTAGACCTAGACCTAGACCTAGACCTAGACCTAGACCTAGACCTAGACCTAGACCTAGACCTAGACCTAGACCTAGACCTAGACCTAGACCTAGACCTAGACCTAGACCTAGACCTAGACCTAGACCTAGACCTAGACCTAGACCTAGACCTAGACCTAGACCTAGACCTAGACCTAGACCTAGACCTAGACCTAGACCTAGACCTAGACCTAGACCTAGACCTAGACCTAGACCTAGACCTAGACCTAGACCTAGACCTAGACCTAGACCTAGACCTAGACCTAGACCTAGACCTAGACCTAGACCTAGACCTAGACCTAGACCTAGACCTAGACCTAGACCTAGACCTAGACCTAGACCTAGACCTAGACCTAGACCTAGACCTAGACCTAGACCTAGACCTAGACCTAGACCTAGACCTAGACCTAGACCTAGACCTAGACCTAGACCTAGACCTAGACCTAGACCTAGACCTAGACCTAGACCTAGACCTAGACCTAGACCTAGACCTAGACCTAGACCTAGACCTAGACCTAGACCTAGACCTAGACCTAGACCTAGACCTAGACCTAGACCTAGACCTAGACCTAGACCTAGACCTAGACCTAGACCTAGACCTAGACCTAGACCTAGACCTAGACCTAGACCTAGACCTAGACCTAGACCTAGACCTAGACCTAGACCTAGACCTAGACCTAGACCTAGACCTAGACCTAGACCTAGACCTAGACATAGACATAGACATAGACATAGACATAGACATAGACATAGACATAGACATAGACATAGACATAGACATAGACATAGACATAGACATAGACATAGACATAGACATAGACATAGACATAGACATAGACATAGACATAGACATAGACATAGACATAGACATAGACATAGACATAGACATAGACATAGACATAGACATAGACATAGACATAGACATAGACATAGACATCGACATCGACATCGACATCGACATCGACATCGACATCGACATCGACATAGACATAGACATAGACAGAGACAGAGACAGAGACAGAGACAGAGACAGAGACAGAGACAGAGACAGAGACAGAGACAGAGACAGAGACAGAGACAGAGACAGAGACAGAGACAGAGACAGAGACAGAGACAGAGACAGAGACAGAGACAGAGACACAGAGACAGAGACAGAGACAGAGACAGAGACAGAGACAGAGACAGAGACAGAGACAGAGACAGAGACAGACACAGACACAGACACAGACACAGACACAGACACAGACACAGACACAGACACAGACACAGACACAGACACAGATACAGACACAGACACAGACACAGACACAGACACAGACACAGACACAGACACAGACACAGACACAGACACAGACACAGACACATACACATACACATACACATACACATACACATGCACATGCACATGCACATGCACATGCACATGCACATGCACATGCACATGCACATGCACATGCACATGCACATGCACATGCACATGCACATGCACATGCACATGCACATGCACATGCACATACACATACACATACACATACACATACACATACACATACACATACACATACACATACACATACACATACACATACACATACACATACACATACACATACACATACACATACACATACACATACACATACACATACACATACACATACACATACACATACACATACACATACACATACACATACACATACACATACACATACACATACACATACACATACACATACACATACACATACACATACACATACACATACACATACACATACACATACACATACACATACACATACACATACACATACACATACACATACACATACACATACACATACACATACACATACACATACACATACACATACACATACACATACACATACACATACACATACACATACACATACACATACACATACACATACACATACACATACACATACACATACACATACACATACACATACACATACACATACACATACACATACACATACACATACACATACACATACACATACACATACACATACACATACACATACACATACACATACACATACACATACACATACACATACACATACACATACACATACACATACACATACACATACACATACACATACACATACACATACACATACACATACACATACACATACACATACACATACACATACACATACACATACACATACACATACACATACACATACACATACACATACACATACACATACACATACACATACACATACACATACACATATACATATACATATACATATACATATACATATACATATACATATACATATACATATACATATACATATACATATACATATACATATACATATACATATACATATACATATACATATACATATACATATACATATACATATACATATACATATACATATACATATACATATACATATACATATACATATATTATTTTCAATTAAACAGTTGCTTGAATTGCATCCATGATGAACCCTGTTCCGAAAATTCACAGTGTTGCCCATCATATACTTGCCGGGAAGTTTCGTACGGAACATTTTTTAAGTCATTGAATTTATGAGTTACATTTTTATTATAAAAATATTATTTTAACGGAATCTCATTTTTCTGAAAGTTTAATTTTACTCAGCTCAATTAGAAATTAACAGAAAAATTTATTTTTAAGCCTGTAGTATTTACAATAATAACATTATGTTAAACCTTTATAAGCTCGTCGTACAACGGCAAAAAAATTAATAATATAGTCATTGTTGTCGGACTAGAACAACGTTTGATACCACATCTGTATTTTAGAACAAGTTGTTCAAAAGTTTAAGAGAAACATACAGTGCCACCTTGGTTTTTGATCTTGTACTAATTTATGCTATGTCTTCCATCAGGCTGAATTGGTATACAAGTTATAAACTTTTAAGAAACCGAAAGTAGTTTCCACTTTTGCTCAAACGATTTAAAAAAAAATACATATTATATATAATTAATATATATGAGACTGTCTCAACTTGACTAAAACGTTACCCTGGTTATCGTAGCTCTCAGAAACTCGTTTTTTTTACCCAGAAATGTATAGGATGTAATGAAATCGAAAAAAAACTATTTCTTACTTGATTACGATAGAATATCTATTCTCGGTAAATAAAAAGTAATTGTTTTTTTAACTCAATATCAAAATTGAGCTACAGAGTCCGGGAATATTTAGAAAACTATAGCCGACAGTCGCGTTTTCGCGACATACCGATTTAGCGAATAGCAATTGCGCATAGGTACATTTATCCTACTGCTGTTGGTCGTTGTGTATTGGGTACAACCATACAGTTGTATCTGTACCAATAATCACGTTGTTAAGTCGAAATTTAAGACGTCACATTGTCTTGACTCACGCGCATCGTATATTTTTTGACTTTGTGAATTCAGCCTACTTACATTGATTATTATTACTAAATAGGTGATCCGTTTTTGCTACAAAAATACTAATGGCTTTATTATTCACTCTTTTATGTATATCAACAGTACAAATCACATATTAGAAAAATTTTGGAAGTTATCTGCTAATTACGGTTTGTCGCGTTTTCGCGACATCCGGCAATAAGACATAAAATGGAACTTACGTGTCAAGCAGGTATAACGAAATACGATGTATCACTAAGCTGTCATTCATTCAAGTATGATTATAAATAAGTAAAATATTTACAATATAGTCTTCGCCTATATATAAAAGTGCACTTTAGAACGTTACCGTCTTTGTGGTAGGTAAAGTAGAGTTCACCTGTTTCATTAACATAGGCATAAGGAGAGAGAGAGCGATGCTAGAATAATGTGATCATATTGCTGGGTACAGTTTAACGAATTTAGCTTTGAAATAGTATTGTAAAATATTAGGAGAACATAAAAAATAGACAACAGGAAGTGAGGTGGTGGACCACTATATTGGATACCATCAAAGAAAGGTCTTCAAAGTGACCTTGACAATAATACCACTGAGCATAATAATAACTCGTAATAATAACTCGTAATAAAAACAGACAAACATACCCTTTGCAGTGCTATTGAATACCCACATTAGTGGCATTATACTGGCATTTAGTACCGACAGCAGTGTTATTGAGTACCACTGAGTACCAACATAAGTGACACTGAACAACCACAGATTGAGCACTAAGCGCTAACAGCAGTGATACTGAGTACCCACTGCTAAGGCTGAGTACCCACATCAACGTTATCTATACCAACAGCTCTAGCGCTGATTACCCACAGCAGTGACACCAAGAACCGACTGCAGTAACACTGAGTACCCACAGCTTCACCAATGAAAACCCACAGCTTCAGCACTCAGTACACGTGGCTTCAACACTCAGTAACCACTGTTTCAGCACTGAGTACCCAGACCATTGGCAATATGTAGATACAGCACTTCTCTTCTTCTACTTCGTTCTTAATTGGGAATATGGTGGAGGATTCAGACAACAAGTCCAACTTCGTGAACAAACCGGACTGTGGTCTCCAGTTTGGCATAAGCCCCATATAAATTTTCCCTGAGTGGGGTAGGCAGGTGCCAGTGTCTGACTCGTGCCTCGTTATACAAAGTACATTCCTGGAGTACGTGCTCCGTATTTTCCGGGGCCTTGCCACAAGGGCACATTTCGCTACACCCAATCTTCAGTTTTTTGTGCATGTGTTGATTTAGTCTGTTGTGGCCTGTTCTAATTCGAAAAATTATGTAGTGTTGTTTTCGTGTCAGATTATAATAGCCATCATCTCTATTGTAATGAGGGTGAGTGTCAGACCACATTTGCGCTTGTTTGTTTTTTATTATTCTTTTTATTTCTTTTGGGTGTAGCGAAATTTCCGGTTGTGGTTTCTTTCCCCCTATTTTTGCCAGCTGGTCTGCAATCTCGTTACCCTGGATCTGGCAGTGGCCCGGGATCCACTGCAGCACAATTCTGCTGCATGTATTTATAAGCCTCTCTAGTGTTGTCATAAGTGTTTGAATATAGGGCTCTGGATTTTTTAGAGATTGCAGGACAGATTTGGCATCTGAAAGAAATACAATCTGACTTTTTGGTGATTTAGGGTGTTCTGCCAGGAGGTTTGCTGCATGTTCTATGGCTTCTTTTTCTGCCCTAAAATTGTCGGATAGGCTGCCTGTGGCTATTGCCTTTTCCAGGCTTTCTCCGCTTGGCCATTCAATAAGGACGCCAGCCCCGCCATTTTTTGTGGCATCTTCGGCTGAGCCATCAGTGAAAACTCTAATCCAGGAATTGCTGGGGTACTGATCATTAATGTATTTATTGGTAATTTTCTTTAGTTCTTCCTGATCATAGTCAGATTTTTTTCCTATGGTGTCAATTGAGTCAAAAATGGTTAAATGACAGTGGGAGATCCAAGGCGGGGAGAGGGTTAGAGTTTTTATTGCTTCAGGAATGATATTTTCGATTTCATATTTCTTTTTTAGATTCTTTGCTTCTTTGATGAAACTTGTTCTCTGTAGTCTGTCTGATGGACTGGGTTTCTGGAGTTTGGGTTTTAGGTTATGGTTTTCCAGAGCCTCTAGCTTTGTGTATTGAGTGAGGATTTTTGATTCTCTTCTTTCTTCTATTGAGCTAAGAGCGGCTATTTCCTCCATAGCTTTTATAGGTGTTGTTTTCATGGCTCCTGTCATTATTCTCAAACCAATGTTCTGAACTTTGTCAACTTTGCTAATATTTGTTTTTGCTGCTGAACCCCAAGCCGAAGCACCATATTCTAACGTAGGTCTCACATAGCTGGTGTAGGTTTTTTTCAGGATGTGGTGATTTGCTCCCCAGTCTGTACCTGCCAGTTTCCTCATTAGATTGAGTCTTTTAATCCCATTACTTTGTGTGTTTTCTATTTGTTTTCTCCAGGTGAGTCGAGTGTCAAAAGTGACTCCTAGGTATTTAGGGTGGTCGTTTTTTTCTAGCTCTTGGTTTTCTAGGGTTAGTTTCATTTTTTTCATATTTAGTTGATAGGGTGAATATAGAGGTTGTTTTCTTGGTATTTATAGATAAACCCCAGTTTTTTGTCCATTTGCTGAGCTTGTCAAGTGTTTCCTGGAGCCGAAATTTTGAAGTACCAATATATTCCTCTGTGCTGATTAGTGAAAGGTCGTCTGCAAACATGCTTCTTTTTACTCTCCTTGGGATGTTTTCATTTAAGTCATTTATATAAATGACAAAGAGAGTAGGAGACAAGACTCCTCCCTGAGGGACTCCATTTTTATAGTTACAGTATGACTTCTTTTTCCTTGCATGGAGACTGATGCGTTTCGGTTGTTTAGGCAAACTTTGATCCAGTTTAGCATGTTATGAGATACTTAATGGTTTATTAGATTTAGATTTAAACCTTGCTACCAGACTTTGTCAAAGGCTTTTTTAAAGTGGACCCACACTATTGAGATAGTTTTTTTTTCTTGGAAGCCATCTTCTATTTTCTGAGAAATCAAGGTGATTTGGTCTTCCATAGATCTGCACTTTCTGAAGCCTACCTGTTCGTCTGCTAGTAGATTGTTCGATTCAAGAAACCTGGTCAGTCTGTTGTTTACTACTCTTTCCATCAGTTTACGAACGCAGCTTGTTAAACTTATTGGGCGATAGCTATCGACTTTGTTCCTGGGATTTCCTGTCTTGAGAACAGGTATTATGATTGCTTTTTTCCAAATACTTGGGATTTTCCCAGATTTCCAGCTTGCATTAAATATTTGGAGAAGCTTTTCTTAGCAATGGGGCCCAGGTGCACGAGCATATCATTTGAGATTTTGTCAGGGCCTGGAGCTTGCTTAAGTTTGAGGAGCTTCATTGCTTCTCCAAGCTCCTTCTTGCTAATTCGAGCAACCATTCCAGTGGAGGAGAGGGGAGAGACTTTCTGTAGTTTTTCTTTAAATTCAGTTTTATTTTTAACCTCTTCTACTCTTTGGTTGCTGATATTTATTTGTCCTACTTTGCTGAAGTGGGTTATAAATTCTTTTGCTGCATCTTTTCCTGTTTTGATCGTATTTTCAATGTCCATGACTATGGGAGTAGCTCTGTTTTCTTCTTGGTTTAGCCTTTTTGCAATACTCCATAATTTGTGACCATCTTTATCTACATTGAGGTGTTCTGTTTTTTCATGCCAGCTTTTCCTCAATGCAGTTAGATACTTTTTTCTAAAAACCGCGTTTGCTGATTTTAATTTTATATTATTTTCTATAGAGGGATTTTCTTCAACAGTGTTTCTAGCATCAATTGTCACGTCATGGAGTTTCTGGAGGTCTGGAGTCCAGTTTGGGATGTAATGTTTTCTTGCTTCCCTTGGAATAGATTTTTTGGCTGCTAACATAACTGCTTTTGAGAAGGCTGTATATGACTTGTTAACCTGTTTGGTTTTACAGTTGATTGGTCTTGTGTAGGAGTCTGTGAGGGAAGAGAAGAGCTCCCAGTTAGCTTTTTTGTAGTTCCATCTAGGTCGGGTGTAGGGTTCAGTTGGCCTGTTTGATGTATCAATCTGGATCAGGATTGGTCGGTGGTCACTAGTGGCTAATTGATCTGCAACTTCCCTTTTGCATTTTTTGGATATGCCATTTGAAGCAAAAGCTAGGTCTGGGGAAGACGAGGTTAGCCAAGACCTTGAGTAAAAAGTTGGTTTGTCATCAGGTTTTTTTAGAAGGATGAGCCTATTTTCTGCTTGCCATTCTTCAATTTCCTCTCCTTTAGCATTAAGGTCAGGGTAACCCCAGCTCTGGGAGTGGCTGTTCATGTCTCCCACAACCAGGCACTCTTCACTGTTTGGCAGGGAGATGCGGTCCAGTTCCAAGTCCTTATCAGGTGGACAGTAGCAATTGAAGATATTTAAGTTACCTTCTGCAAGTATGAGTTTGGTGCCCATAATCTCAGATGCTGTTGGGTTTGGTATAACGATATCTGTTGTTGGTATGTCATTTTTTATGAGGATGAGGATACCTCCTTTAGGTCTGTTTTCCCTGTCCTGCCTTAAGCAGGTGTATCCTCTAATAGAGAAGCGAAGATTGTTGTTGAGGTGGGATTCTTGGATACAAGCAACGTCTACTTTATTTTCATGTAGGAATATTTTTAAGGCTTCCTTTTTTTGTGAACTCCCTCTGCATTCCACTGCAGTATAACAAGTAATTTGTTTTTTTTTTCACTATTTTGGCCAGTAGATTTTACCTTCTGTTCCTTGCCCCTGGCTGGCCAGGCAAGAATAGAGGAACCACCAGCTCGCTTTTGTGGGCTCCTTCGAGGCGGAGAGCCCGGCCCCTACCTGCGCGGCGGGATTCCACAGGCAGGACGCCACTTCTGTTAGTCCTATTGCTTTCCTCCATCATAAAATTAAGCAGTGCGTGCCAGCATGTTATGCGCCATACTAGATGGCCCGTTGACTCCGACTTCAGCCTGCTTTTCTTTCTGGATTTGCTTCCATAGCCTTTGATCACCCAAGAACAAACTACAAGGCAGTAGCTGTTTGATTTTGGAGTTTCCTCTCCTAGATGGGTTGCTGTCCCCAGCTAACGATCCCCATCTGCCCGGGTTTGGAGTTATAGCGCCCCATACTCGCCATTGAAGTCATTTCCTTGGATTTATGAGATGTTTTTTTATGGATATCCTAACCAATGGATATCCCACCTCATCCTCCATGACCACAAACCAGTTTGTCCACGGCTGTTTATTTGGTATTCACAGCTAACCCTCATATCTAAGGGCCTTTCCCCTATCCGCCACCTGGGGACGCGCTTGGTAGGAGAATGGTAGCTCCCCCAAGGATACAGCACTGTCATTGGGAATAAATAGCAGAATCATATGAGAACAATAGCCGTAGCACTAATCAGAAACATAAGGCACCATCAACAATAGCAGTGAGTACCCAAACCGGTGGCACTGAGTACCCACAGCAGTGACACTAAGTACCAAAGCAGCTGCACTGAGCATAGACAAAATATACAAAGGCTGAACACTGTCATTTAGAACAGTATTTGTTCACGTGCTTTGTGTGTATAGCAAATATAAGTCAAATGAGAAATATGCGTCTTTATTAGTTGACCTTACATAAGAGTTCACGAAAATGACGTAACCGGGTACAACTAAGGCTCTACACATTGAAGGAAGTCCTTTCATATTGAGTGTTTTACTGTAGTGTAGTAGAACCACGACAGCAAGGCTTCAAAGTACCCATTCATAAGAGTTAGTCAGCGAGCAGGTGCAGCAGAGTTATGTAACTATGCCTGAGCTAATAAAGTATAGTTTTGATGAATTTTGCAAGTGATACTACATCTTATTGCATGTCCGTATGTTTAGTTTGTGATATTCTTTTGTTTGTGTGTGGATATTTAGAGAAACACATGACAGTAAAAATAGTAAAATGACCTGGACTAAAAAAAATTAAATTACTTTTTGGTCCAAAAGTGCCTGATGTCGCGTTTCGCGACATACCGTAATTAGCATAAAAAATAAGTCCAAATTTAAAAACAACTTTATACCTCAAATTCAGTGTCAGTATGATGAGAGAAAATCAGCACAAATAATTTTTTACACGCTTGGAACATAATTCAGGTATTAAGGGTTAAATGTATAACATCAACACGGGGAAAACTGTTTATAAACATTATTTCAATAATGAAAACCACAACCAATCAGAGTTTCTTCCAGGCATCTCTTCGGGGGAGCTTCGCCCCCCCCCCGAAAATTTTTTACCGCCCCCCCGAACGAAATGAAATTTATATAATTTATATAGAAAATATATACTTTTAACAGTGTCCGCCCCCCCGAAGAAAGTTTACCGCCCCCCCCCCCCCGAAGATTTCAAGTGCCCCCCCGGAGAAAAAAGTCTGGAAGAAACACTGCAACCAATTATTGTTGATATTACTTTTCTTTTCTTTTTTTTTAGTCTCGGAAAAAAAAGATGTGTTGCAAAAAGTGCAAGGATAAAAAGTAAAGTATGTTATAGGGCGCTGTAAAATAATACGTAGCATTGGGTTTGTTTCTATAAGTTTATAAATAAGTTAATAAATACATTTTTAAACATACATATAGTTATACTTTTGTTTGTATGTTTCTTCTAAGCACAATCTTCTTATACTTAAGACTTTCTGAAATTTGAATGGCACAATAGCTTGTCAAAGATACCCGGTAAATCCAAGGCCAATCCGAATACCCACGTTTACTTAAAGTCATATCCACACACACACACCGGCTACACCCCCGGGCTCAGAGCAACCCGTTCATATGTGCCGCACCCGTCCCAGCCGACTGTCACTAAATACCCCATCCCCACACCACTAACCTCCCAAAGCCAGGCCCTGATATACCATTCGCCTTTCTTTACCCATCCCCTGAGCACATATGTGCAAGCTAACCAACTACCATGTTAACAGATTGTTTTAAATTTTAAAAATATTTACTGCATGCCTATTGACGTACGCCTGATTTTTGTGAATCCTTGCCGACACATTCCCTGTTAACACTGTTTGCGTCAATTCTACTTATAGGTACAACCACAACACTATTATTAATCAAAAAATTCAGCACCCTCCATTTTTACTCTCGATTCAAATTTATCTCATCTTTTATTATTTATACACTTTTAAAACGATAAAAAAATAATTGCATACAATAATTTACTCAGCAAATCTTTACAATTTCGATTTATAAAACGGATTGCTAAGATCAAATTAAAACAAATAAAAACGTTGTCAATATACTGAATTAAAAACAATCCTTAATTTTATGATGTACAAGTTTAAATATGCGCATTAAAAGTTTGCGTGCTGTGTAAATTAAAAAAGTAAATCATATTAAACAGTCCGTATGTTTAGAAATTTATTTTTTGTATATATATATATATATATATATATATATATATATATATATATATATATATATTGGATTGTAAATAAAACTGTAATGTTTTATTAACACTGTTTTATGTTTCTCCCTTGCAGAACACAGAATGAATAAAATAAACTTCCAGAAAAAATAAACATCTAGCATTGACAA